GGTAGGTTGGAGGTGGGGGAGAAGGAATGGGGGTGGGGGGAGGGAGAGGGAGAGGGAAAGTACATGTGAAAATATTAATAATTTAATAAAAAAATATCCAGGAAAAAAAAAGTTAATTTTAAGAATAGGATATAAAATCAAAAAAAAAAAATATGATGTCAGATAACATGTCTCAGAGAACAGAGCCACAGCAACCCTGAAAAGCAGGTTGGTCTATGTTTTGGAAAAGGAAAGAGTAAGAAAAAAAGAAAAGAATTGATATAGACCTGAACAGAGTACAACCAAGGTCACTTGCTGAATTAACTTAGAGTATTAAAGTAGACAAAAAATAAAATATACATAAATGTAGAGGATCAGAGAACGGGGTGGAGAGGTACAGGATATGACACATGACTGGCCTGATTACTGGATTCAATCTTGAGTAGCAGTACTCTATCCACAGCTCCTAGGAACCCATGTTACCCTGAGAGATCCTCCATGATGAGCCATTCTGTTCTTTTCTAGGATCTTTCTCTGTATTCTCTGAGGGCTCCAGCTGTGAATGCTACCACTGCCCCCATGCAGCACGTCCCAGGATCCTATATAAGCATTGTTTGGTGTCTATGTGAGGTTCCTTTTGCTTGGTTCTCAGTGGGTTTTCAGCCCACTGAATACTATGTGGATTGATATCTGTCAGTTTCTCTTAGGCAGTTCTGGTAGTGTTCTTTTGCCCAGGTTTCAGTGGTCCACTCACTTGTTCTGCCTTTCACTGGTGATCTCCACCTGAGGAGCCATTGACATAACAGGAAACTTTTGAGATGATGTCATTTCTGAGCTGTAGGTTGTATCCTATGTCTTACACAGTTAAGAGAGAGTTTTCCTGTGTTTATTTCTGCTCATTTCCCCCATACATATGTGGTTATTGTTGCTGCATACCCACTTGCTTGTTTGTGGTGCTAGGGACTGAACTTATGGCTTCTTGCATGCTAGACAATTACTATACCATTGAGCTACACCCTATCCTAAGACATATTTTAAAAATCCCTCCCACATAACATTATATGCTTTAACATCTTATTCTTTCTCTCCTAGTAACTAATTTACCATACTTCAGTGAGATCAACCTTACTAGATTCCACATTCAAGATTTCACAAAACTTATGACACTCTGGTCTTCAGTGTTGTCACATGTGATAGAGCTTCATTATTTATTTTTATGGATGAATATTATTCCATTGTACATTCATATCACATTTTATATCCATTCCTCTGTTGGTAGATATGTTAGATGACTCTTATCTTTACTGCTATAAGAAG